GAGCCAATTGTAACTACGCAAATAGCGACATCAACATTGCAGATGAGGGGGCGGGAATAATATTTCTTTATTTATGTAATTATTTTATTCGTTTATTCATTTACTTTTACAAGTCAGCACAATGCTTATATTTTTATGTACATATATTACCCTTAAATTGCAAAATATATTGATATAATATATTGATGGCCCACCATCTGATGACATAGGAAAAAATGCCCCAAGGCCACGCCAACTTGCCGACCCCTGGTCTACAGTATAGCCCCTATAAGCCTGGTCACTGAATCCAGAGACTTCACACCATCACATACATAATGATCTGGACATGGCATAAACATGGCAGGTCTGTGACAATCATTCAGCCTGTGAAACCAGTGTCTACAACACACATGCAAACACCTCCACAACCTGATGAGGCCTATCTAATAATGGCTAGTTCTATGCAAACTCACAAAAATGTTACGTATAACTCATTGAAAATCTTTCTGTCATGTGGAACTGGCATAGTGTGACAATCCTCCTGTCATCTAGCTGCAATTCAGCTTCAGTATTGTAGTGCAAACACTGTATTGCCTTCCTCTTTATGAAGGACCACAGCTTGTCTCCTGCATTTGTACAGAGTTCAGTGTTCCTTCCCTTGCTTCAAGCACACACACCTTAGAGCGAGCATTCATTTCTGGCTACGTGGTGTGGCTTTTTTCTACTTGTTCTGACAGCTATTCTCCAAATTTAAAGACATGATCCTCAGTGACCTTCCAGCAGGGGCTGAGATACTCAGCTGGCAGATGACAGCAGGATCAGAAGTTTTCTAATGTTCATTTGCCTACACTTCAAATCATAAATGTATCCTTTTTTATACAGACAAAACAACAATTGAAGAATACAAAGCTAAATGCTTATTTTAAACAGTCTTTGAAAAAGTGCTTAGCCACATCCCTGCAGTTCTGCTGATCGACCAAACCAACGCAGCCACAGAAGGTCCCCTACAGGAGGACAGTAAATTCTGAGCCCTGTGTTCATCACGTCCCCATTTTAATGATTTAATCGGTTAATGTTTTTCTCTCATTAAGAAGGAAAATAATCTGAAAATGTTTATCAACAGTAAAATTATTTTCTTTTCAAAAATCAGCAATTTTAATTGTAATTTATTGTTGTCCTGCACATAACTTCATGCAGAGTGTAAAAAAAAAAAATCATTTTCCTGATTTACAAAATACAAACATCTTCCTTATGTACTCCTACATCAAAATGCAGTACACACACAATATGGTTGTACTACCTTGAAATTAATATAGGTCTTCCAGTCACAACTTCACTGTAAACTCTGAGATAAAAGTGCCACAACTGTTGAGTGAAACATTTTTCCAATGTTAGGACTCCGGACTGAGTTCAAAGAACTACTGTGGACAAATATGGATACAACATATGATCCAACTGTGCCTATCACAGTATTATCTCACTGTCGTTACATGCTTTTAGTTTAGCTGTTTTATTAGGGAACCATTATCTTTTAGATCTCACTGATTTATCTCTGAGTCGATTCTCAAAGGAACACTGACCTTTTTCAGTTTTTCAATCTGTTTCTGACGTACGGCAGTGTTATCTATGGCCAGAACCTCCACAGTCTCCTCTTTCTCCAGACGGTACTTGTTCACCCCAACAATGACTTCTGATCCTGAAAAAGAAAAATGTGGTGGCAAATGTTTTGATTGCAAGGTGCAAGGAACCATTCACACACTGACCTTGTTAAGGTATTATCTAAGGAGCAGAACATGGGGTTGTTAGATAAAAAGGAGTACATACAAGTTGCTTCAAAAGTTTTCAGACCTCATTACTTTTTGCACACTTTACTGTATTATAGATTTAATTTTAACTTTATAAAGCAGCCATTTTTTTATCAAGCCTACTCCATTATTCCCAAAAGTATTCAGACTCTTTGCAGTGTCATTCAGATTATGGTCAGGTGCATCCTGTCTGCTTTTCCCTGAGATGTGTCTAGAACTTGACTGGCTGGACTCCACCTGTGACAAACTGAACTGGCTGGACTTTGATTACTGTATATATTAGGTCACACAATTCACACTGCATGTCAGATTAAGAACTGAGCCCAAAGATCTCTCTAACAGTGCTTCAGAAGTCCTCCATCAGCAGCACTCAATCAGTCAGGCCTCTATGACAGAGGATCGACAGAGACACATGACAGCTGCTGTCGGGTGGTGATAACACCCTGACACAAGTGTACACACACATCTTCCCAAACAACACACTAAAATACATTGTGAGGTGGACTCAAGGTGAGACACAATCTTGTGTTAACTGTTTTCCTGCCCACACACATTTTACATTCCCCAGTCTTTAGGGTCTAACAAAGTGCGTGTTCAGAGCTGCCAACCAAACAGCGTTTTTAATTCTCAATCGAATGAAAACACCAATACTGGACAAAAGAATATCATTATATCCACACTAAGCCGTTTATAGCAAAGAACATTGAAAATCTAGAAAGTATTAAGGTCACACCAAGGGGTTTTAAAAGGCAGGAAACAGCCCTTGCACTTTTTAAAGTAACATGGGAAACTCATTTCCATGTTACACCACTTTGGAGACAAAAACAGTGCATAGCAAAAAAAATCTAATTTCTTATAAAGGATACACAAACCAAGAGTGAACAACTTCTCTATCAGGAGACATTTAGGACAATACACTGAATATTTTATGCCAAGTTCATTGCAATATAGTTCCATACAGGCCTACGATTATAGGCAGAGGCAAAAGAAGAAAAAGAAAAACTAAATGAGAAGCTTTAAGGTCACAAGCAGATGTTATGCTTATACAGTACCTGAATCAATGCGGGCCTGACGGCGTGCTGCACATTCCTCAATACGAAGTTTTGGAATCCCTTCTGCCACAGCTCTGGCCATGCCTCCCATGTCTTCAATGTCTTTAATGAACTACACAGAACAAAAAGTAGGCTATAAAAGAATGTCCGTATGATGGCGGATTACTTCTGTAGTCAGTTCTCTTCATACTGTATGACATTTACCGCACTAAAGCTTGACAGGCACAAGACAACCAAAAATGTTCACATTTAAAAGAATTTCCAAAAGAAAATCTAGCCCCTAGTTGTATATTATAGGTGAACTCTGGGTTAAAGATGGGACCGAGCGAAAGCTAAACTTCTCGTTAAACCACTTCTCAGGTTACTTGGATGGAAGCCCAGCCTGTTTGTTCCAGTGACAAACCTTCATGGCTGCATTATAGACATCGTTTGTTAGAGTCTCCATCATGTGTGAGCCCCCCCAGGGATCGGCGACTTTGGGGATGCCCGACTCTTCCTGGATGATGATCTGCGTGTTCCTGGCAATGCGAGCGCTCTTCACCGTGGGCAAGCCCAGAGCTTCATCGAACGAGTTGGTGTGGAGCGACTGGGTTCCCCCGAACACAGCTGCCATGGCTTCAATCACCGTACGGATTACGTTGTTGTATGGATCCTAACAACAGGAGCCAGAGTGGGAAGTTGGAGCTACAGTCAGTAAGTTTATACTGGAATTGAACTGGGTTTTCTTTTTTATTATTCTTGTATCAACTTATATTTACTTGTTCAGTGAGAGACCAGCCTGAAGTCTGGCAGTGGGTGCGGAGGAGGAGAGACTTAGCATTCTTGGGTTGGAAGTTCTCCTCAATGAGTGTAGCCCATAACCTCCTGGCTGCTCTCAGCTTGGCAATTTCCATGTAGAAATTCATCCCAATACCCCAGAAGAATGACAACCTGTCAACACACACAAATACATGTCAAAACAAAGAAACATAATCAGGTATTAAAATAGACTGAGATTTAAACGGTAAACCTAGTCAATCCTATTAAGATTTATGTCTCATTATACTTTATATCGACACCTGTAACCTAACAACCATAGTCACAGACTTCACCCAGTGATAGCTATGAACAGACACTACTACCTTGCAGAAGATGGAGAGAAGCAACATATTCCATCCAAGACTCATGCCCAGAACAAGAGTTTCTACTAAGCTGCCATGCTAACAAAAGCCTACTCTGGTTAGTAAAAGCTGAACCACAGTGACTTTTCTTCCCCTTTCACCTCAGCATTCACATGAACTGCATTCCAGTTTTGGCAGCTGTCCACATTCACCTGCAGACCATACCAACTAATATGAACTGCAGCAGGATGGCAGGCCATGAAGGCTCCATATCCAAATTTACCCAGCCGTCTCTCTGTGACATTTGGTGTTGGAGAGTGATACATTGGCTGTGCCAATAGATCAGCCATTACTATCACATTGCAGATAGTCTATGAGATAGTCAGAACTGAAGAAGCCTGTTGGATGAGAGGTGAAACATCTTCGACCTAGAAATCTAGTCCAGTTGATTTTTTTCTTTTTCAGCCTATCCATGTTTTACTTTACATTTTATATTACATTATATCTTTAAGCCACACATTGTGTTGTGCTATTAATCATTTATATAAATTAATAGATTACTTTAGGAAAGATTTGATTTGTGTAAAAGCCTTTCCATCTGGCTTAACTGTTTGCTGGTTCAACAAGTAAACAGACATCTGTTTGCCAGTCATCACACTCACTTATTGTGCATTAGTTAAAACATGCACACTGTCAGTGGAATGGGGTGGCAAAACCATGGCTATGGTACAATATTTTGGCATTTCATCGGTAACATGATATGACAGTTAACGTCAGGGTAAAATACTGAACAGTTCCTGCTCTCAAACGAGAGACCAACATGTCATTATTTGAATGAACAGTCAATCCCATGTGCATGGAAAAACTTTGTTAGTCTGTGCGGCACAGAATCTTGAAAGAATTTACTGTAAAATTCTATCAAATTCAACTAGTGAGTCTACTGACACTGAGCTTCAAGTGTGTCCATCAAAACTGGTCTTCTTCACACTTACTAACATCTTTATATTTTATACCTCGGGGCAAACTCGTCAATGGTTAAGCCTGCTTTCAGACCAGTGCGACAGTACTCCAGGCCATTAGCAATGGTGTAGGCCACTTCCAGGATGGCATCAGCTCCTGCCTCCTGAAGATGGTAGCCACTGATGGATATAGAGTTGAACTTGGGCATGTGCTGTGAACATGGTCAAGTCAGTAAATTAGATCAAATGTAATAAACATCTATATGGTATGATATACTGTAAGCACCCTACAAAAAAATATGGTTTGTACCACTTAGTTACTTGCAGAATATGTAGTAAAACTGTTGATACATACCTCGGAAGTATAAGCAAAGATGTCTGCAATGGCGTGCATGGAAGGTTCTGGGGGAAAGATATAGGTGTTTCGCACCATGAACTCCTTCAAAATGTCATTCTGAATCGTGCCAGTTAGCTTGGTTTTGGGCACGCCCTGCTCCTCTCCAGTCACAATAAACATGGCCAACACAGGGATAACAGCTCCATTCATTGTCATAGAAACGGACATCTTCTCCAGTGGGATTCCATCAAAAAGCATCTTCATGTCCTCAACTGTGTCTATGGCGACCCCAGCCATGCCAACATCTCCATGGACTCTGGGATTGTCTGAGTCATAACCACGGTGCGTTGGAAGGTCAAAAGCCACAGAGAGACCCTGCTGTCCCGCTGAAATGAGAGAGCAAACATGGATTACAGCCAGAGCTCATAGAAATCCTTAGTTCATTTATGATCTGAATTATTTGACTCATGCACAGCAAAACTGAAGAAATGGCTTCTTGTGAGCCTCAATAAAACATCACTATACCATAAAATATTAGAGTAAAAGATGACCTCTACAATAAGGTGATTTCACCTTATTGATTATTGGAGGTCGTCAACATATGATAATTACTCATTACAGCACAAAAAAAGCAGGCTTGTTTCAGATGTCTGAACTGCTGCTCACCTTTTGAAATGAAATTTTCAAAGGGAATTTTCATTTTTTAAGACTGATCTGAATCTGAATAATCAGGATTTGGTTAGTCCTTGTAACTGTTTAGAAGGTCAACAAAGTTTACAAGTCCTCATGCAATTACTGCACATACATACATACAACAGCACAGTAGGTTTGGTCTATTTTACTCAATCCAGTTTATTTCTATGTAATTCTCTCTATAATAATATAACACATTCATTTTGTCTTATGTGTGGAGTATGATATACTGTGCCTCAAATCAGCACTAGTACCAAGTCAGCTACTGCTTGTGAATCATTGTATAACTGACTAAACTGCCAGGTCCGAGGGAGATGCAGCAGGCAAAAGCCAATGACTGTATTTGTGGGGTTCTGACATGTTACAGACATAAGTCCAAAATTGCATTGAACAACACAAATTTTACCATTATAAGATAGAAAGCTAATTAATGCACAACATGCCAGTGTTTCAGATAAAAACAGAAAAATACACAACAAGAAAATCTACCTTTAATGTTATCTTTATAGAACTTGTTACTCTCCTCCACAGTGCTGAAACCAGCATACTGCCTGATGGTCCACGGTCTGTAGGTGTACATAGTAGGATAAGGCCCCCTAGTGTAGGGGAACACTCCTGGCAATTCATCAGCACTGCTGGCTGAGTCTGCTTTAGTGTACACAGGCTTGATGTTGATTCCCTCAGGTGTGTACCATATCAGATCCTCTGGGTTCTTCCCCTTCAGCTGTTTCTTAGCCAGACTGGCCCATTCAGGATTCAGCTCAACCCGGTCTTGACATGGTATGGAAGTGTGTATCAGAGAGTGGTGTGTGTGTGCCGAGGATACAGAGGCTCTAACCAGGCATCGAGCAGCCAGCCCTGCACATGCTCTCTGTGCAGTCAGCATGCTTACTGTTGGTTCAGTCAGACACACATGGATCACCTGAGATAGATTAGATTACATTACATTAGATTAAACTTTATTGTCATTACCCATGTACAAGCACAAGGCAACAAAATACAGGTAGATAAAGAGAACGATAAAAGATACTTCATAAAAGAAGTCAGTCATCACTCAGGTTGCATTTCTTTCACAAATGAACTTTAACTGTTGGTTCCCTGCTTCCTGGCAAATTGTACAATCTTATTTAGAGAGTATTACTAGTACCTAAAGACCAGCTAGTCACACAATGTGATACACGCACAAATATCTTTACAAGCATGAAAACAAGTCGGGTTGGAGTTGTTTTATCCAACTTAAAAAAGCAATAACTTTAGACAACACTTAACAAGAAACAAAATTAGTTAATGTTACTGTTTGGTGATAACAGTGCAAAAGATTTGATTTGATTTATTCTTTCAAGCATGTAAAAACAGTTGATATGACAACACATAATTTTACACATAATCCAATATCAATTTGCTTAGTACATGCTTGAATGGAGTAGGAAGAAGTCAGACTTATCCAGTCCTACCCCATGACATCATCTTACCATCATTGGTTTGCAAGCAATAAATGATTCTCTTCTACACCACACAAGTATTATACTAAAAAAATTATAACAGTGTTAACATTCTTACATAATTACATTACATAAGAGAAACAGTGGTTAACTTATTGTCACTGTGAAAAGAATTCTTACAAGTTTAACGTAACGTGACGTATATAACGTTATAGTCTCGCTCGATACATGCTAATTTTAAAATCTAACAGCAAGAATGTTAGCTAGTTTTTAGCACTGTGTTAGCTCCGGCGGCTGAACGAAACAATAAACACACGTTTCCTGGAAGTCCAAAAGGGCATGGCGGGATTAAATTACTACGGAGACTATGATGACTTTATAAATAACCGGTAAAGAGTCGAAACGTGCCAGTTAATGTTGGAATAACATCACCTCAACTACAGCTGTTAGCTCACTGCTAAGCACTTGTTAGCTAACCATAGGTCTTAAATAACAGATTGTATGCATTAGTGCAAAACACCAAAACAATACCTGCTAACATAAGATATTTTACAGCCTAAGCTTATGATTAACAACACGCATTACTATGTATTTTAAGACAATTTTCTGACCTTGTCATTTGTTGTGCACGTCCAGGTTTACGAAAGGCGTGTGTTCGTCTAGCCAATAAAGTTTCATAACAATACCATTCATCCAATCGCATGCTACGGTCAATGGAATGAACTTTGACCTAGGACACCGGAAGTAAACACTGAAGTCACTCTTATAGAACGTTATAGAGATAAGCAATGTCAAACAGTAATACATTTTGCCATTCGGTGTTATTACATAATGATAGTCAGTCCATAACGCATAATTATCATTATTTGTAATATGAATAATTCACACTACTGTAGTTTATTTATGCGCCATTAGGTGGCGGTAATGGTACATGTCAAACATGATACATATTCTACCTACTTTAGTATTCTAATATGAGTAAATCATAAATTACACACTGGACACATTTCTCAACACAGTACATGCCATTTTTATTGAAGAGTTGGTCGATAAACTGTCATAGCAGTAGCAATGGCTCTTACAGTTCTGTACAGTTTTGGACTGAGTTAGACTGGATAGGGTACACTTGCAGTAAATGTTTCTGAGGGATATAAAATACACTAAATGTATGCAGACAGTGGTCTATAATGCCCAGTTAATATACAGAGCAGAAGTACTGTACTTTCAACATATGTACCCTTTCTCTGTTGTTTAAACTGTAAGGCAGTATGTTTGACTGTAATGCTGTACGGCTTTTCATCAGACTGATTTCCTCATGATTCAATAAAATGTACAACTTTAAATGAAATTCAACAACAAAGCATCTCTAACAAACAAAAAATGCAGCATGTGTAAAAGTCTTGCAGGATGTAAACATTTTCTTGCAGTTTCTATAATAATGTGATGGCAATGAAGCAGCAGTAGATACGCTTAAATATTTAACTGAAGAAGAAATCAAAGAAGAGCTGGTGGATGGTAGCAGGCAGCAGCCAGGTATGGTCTCCTTGTGGAAACGGGTTGTGGCAATCGCAGCCTCGTTAACCTTCAGCCTTCTTATTTGAAACAGAGGCATCACTCCAACTTTAGCAGTTCCACATCGAATATAAGTGTGGCATTTGGGGGGATGACTCCGGGGTGGCCTGTCACTCCATAAGCCATATCTGGTGTGCAGGTGATTTTAGCTCTCTGGCCCAGGCTCATCTGAAGCACAGGAGGAAAACAAAAACAGTTCTAAACATGCTGATCATGTATGTGCCTCCTTTTTTTACAACAAACCAAAACAGCTCAAGCCCAAAATATAGTCACCATAGTTAGAATGAAATTGCTGCTGCTTATGGCATGATTTTTGCCATAATTTTTCTGTCCCAGATAAATTTCTTTGATCTGAGCAGAGTTTTTCCAAGTCTTGTAATCTGTACTTGCCATTAGCAGACTCTGGGTATTATGTTTCTCAGCAGCACTTGAGCTAGAAGATCACTCAATCTTTTCCATTTTTAATGCATTATTCAATAACAATAAAGCTGTAACAAGAAAACAATCTGACTGAATGGGTGGTATGGTCACTTTAAATATCACAGGCATAAATGAAAAACAAAAAGAGCTTGCAGCTGCAGTTACTAGGGATAGAACAAATTGTGAACCATTTTATGCAAGGCAAAGTGTCAAAGCAAGTGCCTTTAATTTCCCACCTTACCTGTGCTACTCCTTCCTCCCAGCCCTTAATCACCTCTGACCGTCCGATCTTGAACTTAAACGGCTTGTTCCTGTCTCGAGAGGAGTCAAACTTTTTCCCATTCTGCAGCATACCTGCCCAAAACACAGTACACAAACCAAATTCAGAGTAGAGATCCATCTGTTTAAGAACACTGGTCATCTGATACAAGATTAACAGTAAGTCCACATTTATTTTTATGCCGTTTTACACATCTGTAGTGTTACCTGCTCCTAGCTGGCTGGCAGTGCTGCATCTAGCTATAACTCACTGTTATCTGTTATTTCAGTGTGTTGCCAGAGCCATGTACACCCTTCCCTCAGTAGCCAGTGTTTTGGAATGAGGCGTTTTAAGGTTAAAGGAATGAAGCAACAGTGGCTCCAGTCTGAGGAATTACTCTGGCAGGGCCTCTTATCAGGTTCTTGGGTCTGTTTCAATTACCCAAATGAACAAAGGGAATGTGAATCAGGAAGCGTTGACCTGGTTTAGTGGATTATTTTTAAAGTTAACTGGGCCAGGGCTGGCCCGTATCTAGACCGCAGGGAAAAAAGGGTAACAAAGGCAGAGCAGTGCTCCTTCACAACACTGACTGACCGTTCAAGCATGATAACAACACTGGGGCCATTAAACACTACTAAAGATGTGGAAACACAGGCCTCACTTCATTAGTGGCTTTAACATGCCCTCGTTGACTTCCCCACTTTGCCAGTTTCCCTTTAGGGAATCCAAGCTGTCACCTGAAGCGACGTTCTGTTCCTCTGATAACTCATGTGAACTGTCTGCACTGCCCAGATGGCCAGCGCAACTCTAAAATGATGCAGACGTCAGGACATAGAACTATGTATTTAATACTGGATTTCTGTATGAATCTACACAATTTTGTGCAGCAATCTGATGAAGTAGCTTGACTTGTCAGGCATTTAATTCTCTGCATGAGCCAAAAACAGATCTTCCATTATGGCTGTTTTATCCGTTAATAGCTTCTCGATCACATTTCCAGAAAGTGTACTACATGAATGCATAATTTAACTCTATGAACCACATGTGAGGACTTTATCCATATCTTCAGTCTTGCAGGAATCCAAAGTGGCAGCAAGCAAACACTATTCTACACCTACTTCATTCTATTGTTCTCTGTAGTAATTCAACAAGTGTGAATGCTTGGCATTTAAAGTTGCATGTTAACTGACGTTCAGTGTTGGTGTCTGGCTCATGTAGTCATATGAATGCTGGTACTGTACACCTTCTCCTCTTTCAACCCCCCTAAAATTAGTAGGTCCATCATTTCCAAGAATCACAGCAGCCCAAATATCACTGGATCCAACCACAGAGTCATCAAGTGCACACGCCATGGTGAATACCACCTGCGTACAGAGCATCCGGGCAGCACAGGGGAAAAACCTTCTTGCATCAACTGCAGAAAATTGGGTTCAGTTGCTGACAGCAGTTCATGCAACTTGCAAGGAAGCACTTATTGGAAATATTAACAAATGAGAAACTTGTGAGGGATCATATCCTAGTGAGTTCAAGTGTCTGTTGAAAGGTTGCTGATGTCATGGAGATACCGTTCACCTACACACTATGTGCTTTTGGTAAAGACTTCTCACTGTTAAATAAAAGGACAAACAACCCCGGAGGAGGCATTGTAAGCCAGCACAAGGGTTAACAGCATCAGGGACTTTGGTATACACTGGTAACAGGCTAA